AAGTGTATTGACAATCTCTCGGGCTCTAACGAGTACTAGGATAAGATCCGCGCCTTACGCGGGATGAAGCTATTATTTTTATTATGTTTTGAAAAATGAAACAATAGTTCGGTTTCATTCGGATTAGAGGTGTTCAATCCGAATATCGGGTTTCGATTCGGCTCGATTTTTTGGTATTTCGGTTATTAAAATATAACTAATATTCTAAATCTATATGTACTTCAGTTTGATTTGGTTTATATGCCATCGATTTTCAGTTTATTCAATTTTATATCAAAAAACATAATTATTTAGTTTGAGATCATATTATATATTATACAAATATATAATATGATCATATTTAGAGTGATATTGTCACAGAGTCATTTATTAAAAAAATATTATATATTTAAAGAAAAGAATAAAAAACAAAAAAAGCTTCTATCATCTAATAAAATGATCAAATCTAGAATTAATATCAAAACACTAAATTTTGAAAAAAAAAAAAAAAAAAACAGAAGCATGAAAGAAAACTTTTTATATTCTTCCATATTTAGTATTCATCAAACCAATATGTCTTCGATTGAACACAACTCTGTTTTTTTAAAGATAAAAAAAAGTTGTAAAGAATTTCAACTAATTGTTGTCCATCAAATTTATAATCTTTACTTCAATTTAGTTACTGTTAAAAAAAGCAAAAGATCAAAATAAGAAGTCTCAGTTGTAATTAATTGTTAGCTATTTGCAAATTATAATTATAGTTCAACTCATGTAACAAATAGATATTCATGCGTCGTTATAAATATATACATATTTACATGTTTCAGTTTAATCGGTTATAAATCAAACCATATCCAAATCTTATGGTTTTTATAAAATCACATCCATTCGGTTTGTATGATATATACCAAAATAACCATATTATCGATTTTTAATATCTTTTAAAAATATAAAATTAAAAAAAAGAACTAAGATATTAAAATCATTGATAACAAAAATTTTCAATGTGAAAAATTTAATAAGTTTATAATTTATAAATGTTTTTGAAAATTTATTGAAAATTTTGAAATTAAATATTTATGTAATCTTATATGGTATATAGTTTAATCTGTATATATATTTGTTTTATTATTGAATGATACTTTTTACTTATATGGTTTTAAAATCATGTATATCTTTTATAATAAAAATGTTAAACTATTGATCATTAATTTTTAACGTAATAATTTTAATAGTTTAGTTATCTATTCTCGCTTTTTTAAAATTCAAAATCTAACCTATACGAAAAAATCTAAAGTTTAATTTTATAGCTAATTTGATTGTTTAATTTATTTTAATAATATAAAATTAAAGAAAAATGATGGAGGATATATAATATGTTATCAAATATTTATTATCATAATCATTAAGTGTCATATATATATATATTAGTCATTTATGGTAATTCCGTAGGTTTTATTTATGGAAAGAAAATAAAATAGTAATTATATCTAGGGGAACAATCATAAATGCTTCTATCATAAATATCATATCATATCATCATATCATATAATTTGACCAACGAATGTATCTAGCGACATATAAAAATCGAATGTGGACCTACTTATTTTTCAATTGAATGTAATTGACTGCCTAATTGAGTGACACCTAAGCATGGAGTCTTCTTTAATTATTACAAAATTGATGTTACAATCTTTTAAATGTTTCTCCTTTAATATATAAGGGATTCACATCAGTTTGTTTTTTTCTAGAAACTTATTAACATTATTTGATTCGTTTAGGATTATGTTTGATCTAGATAGTTTACATGTTGGACCGTAACAGATGATCGATTCACTTCTGACATTAACCGGAAGATATTTCAAATTGAGTTCAAACAGTGTGATTTTTCCGGATAGTTCTTAGTACTAAATACGTTTTTTCGGGATTAACCGGGTTAACCGTTAGAATTTATAAAAAGAACAAATAATAATTTTACTAATATAAGTAAAATCGATATCTTTTTGGGGATGATTCACGTATTTTATATTGTTGCTTTTTTTTACAAAAAAAATTGATATTTAATTAAAACAGTATATAAAACAAAATATAGTTAAAATTTTAAATATAAAGCCACATCTAACTAAAATGTAGGGGTGTCAAAATGAGTTATAACTCATGATCTGGCTCAACTCAACTAATAAATGAGTTTAGTGATCGAGCTTAAATTACATCACGAGTTATATAAACGATCTTTAATGAACATGAGCCAACTCATAAACTTGATTATTTTATACTTACAATTATACTAGGTGATTTTCCCGTGCTTATGCACGGGGATAAATATTTATAAAATAAATATATTATAATAGTTGATTGATATTTACTTTAACTTTTATATTAATTTATAGTTTTATGTATAATTTATATTAATAATATTATATTATTTTAGTTATATATAATTTTAGATATATTATATTTAGTTAGTTTATCATTTGGATATATATATATATATATATATATATATATATTGGATTCTATCTATTTCTCTGAATTCAACTATAATTTTTTTTTATTCTAAATATCTTAAATTTTTGATTAATTACTTTGTTTACATTTATGTTGGTTGTTATCTTAGAAATATAAGTATATCTTAGTAAGTTTATGTATTTTAATATTTTTTGTGCTTAGAACGAAAAAAATAAAAACTAATGTGTCTGATTCTAATTTACATACATAAGTAATAATAAATTTTCAGAAGCTTATGAAAACATATCAATATTTACAATAATTAAATATTTTAGAAATTTTAAAAAATTTATGCCTTAGATTGATTGGATGGTAAACTGCAATTTATTTTAAATAATTTTTAAAATAAAGAATTATGATTTTCTTAAGTATTTTGATTATGGTTATATTAAATTCCACAAACATAAAAACAGAAAATTAAACATCAAAAGAGTTATTAAGAAAACATATAATTTTAACTATTAAAATATAATATATCTACCTTGTTAAATTATATAGTGTTATGATATTTTAAAAGAATTGTAGTTATCTGATCAAAAGATGTTTACTATTAAATTTATTTTTAGTTTTGTTTTTAATATCTCTTAAAGTATGCAGTAAAAATGTGATTATTTTTGAGAAATTATATTATATAAGTAAAATATAATTTATATTTTTGCTGTAACGGTAAGATATTATAATCAAATAAATATACTAATTATAATTTTTTTTGTCAATTAAACATATATCAGTTTATGTTACTTAATTATTTTATGTAATCATCTAATAAAATAGATAGATATATACAAAAACTAATTACTTTAAAAATATATATTTTATTCTTTAAATTATTTTTTAAAGAAAAAATATTTCTTTTTCTAATATCAACATTATTTGTATGAAATTCTTTTATGAAAACACATTATATACAAATATTGTTTTTCATCTAAGAAGGTATAGATATAAAGTATAATTACTTAAAAAGTATAATTTATGTTATTTAAAAATATATTTAAGTTAAATATTAATATTTTGTAAACTTTCCTTTTTTTATGAAAACATATTATATATATACTTATTTTTCGTTTTTTAAATAGTTTTGTAAATTTTAGAAATATTTCCTTTTTATTTTATATTGTTATTTGGAAGATTTTAAAAAGAAAATAATATTACTTAAATATATTTTAAATCATTAGGGGTATCATAGTAATCAACCAACGTGAGAGTTAACGTGAGCGCGACACCTAAGAAAGTGACTTCTCAAATAATATTATAGAGATATATAAAATAAATATTGAATAACTTCTATTTTTCTTAATTAAAAAGATAATTTCCATATTAATCATATTTATCTTCTAAAACTAAAATATATTACCAAAATTTCTTAAAAGATAATTTCTATATTGATCATATTTATCTTCTAAATTAAAATGTAAAACATACATAAGTAATATAGAAATTAAACTTTAAAACTTATCTGTAACTGTTTAGATAAAAGAAATAGAAACTATCCTGTTTAGAAGTTATCTTAATCTTCTATATTACTTCTCTTTTTAAATAATATAGAAATTAAAATTTTAAAATTAATCTATAACTCTTTAGAAAAAAAGAAAATAGAAACTATCCTCTTTAGAAGTTATCTTAATCTTCTATATAAATACACGTTATGTTTTGGACATATGAAGATTTTGAAGATGAATTGTCTCAAGACTCTAATGAAGAATAAGGATTTTGGATTACTGGTTTAGCTTAAATTTAATTTATTTTAGGTGTTGGTTTTATTTAATATTTAATATGAATGTTTTGTATTTTTAATATTTAAATTTCAAATAATATTATAGAAATTATTTCATATTTTATTTTATATAATAATCTTAATATTATTATTTTTTTATATTAAATTAAGAGTTAGCTCGTTTAATTCATGATATAAATGATCTGAGTCCGAGTTTACATATTGAAAGCTCATAATATAAATGAGCTGAACGGATCTAGCTCATGAAAGATCCGAGCTCACTATGAGCTGAGCTGAGTTGAGTGATGAGCTGAGCTCAGTTGAGCGAACTAGCTCATTTTGACATTCCTACTAAAATGTTTTAAGCCACTATTATGTTAGGGACGGCATTGACTTTTACTTTCCACGGTGCGCAAAAAAAAAGATATAACACCTTGGTTCTCAACGTGGTGAAATATAACACTGACAATAGTGGCTAAAGCTGTTAATAATTCAAAGGTGCTCTCATACCCACATGGTTACCTAAAAGCTAAAAAATTTAAGTAAAATATATATAAAGCATGTGATTAGTTTAATCTTAACGAGTAAGAACCATTAAACTATATAAAATCTCAAGCTGCATAGTAAGCATAGTATGCAAGCGTGCACTACATATATAATTATCCGAGAGTAGTCAAGTCATTTCAAGCTCAGCCACATTCTTAGCCTTAGACCCTAAGTTTCCTCTACATGCTTCTTCAATATTTCTTATTTCAGCTAACCTTGTTTTCTTAAAGCATATATGGAACCGGTAGTAGCCATGCAGGATTCCCAGTGTAACAATGGACCAAGAACCTACAAGTCATCTCTTAATTTTCTCGACCGCCTATTGTTGCCGTTTATTGTAGTTGTTTTTGGTGTTATAGTATTTGTTAGTCCGTTTTGGCTTCAAGTTTCTCACAGATTTTTCGTAATAACCATCCCTAGAGTGATTACTTACTTGTCAACCCCCAAGGTCTTATTCCTTCTCACAAATTTCATCGTGATCACCCTCATCGGAGAATCAAAGTTTTCTAGATCAAGATCTTCTCTTCCAGCTAGTGAACTACGTGAAGAGTGCATAACTGTGAGGAGCCATTCTTGTGACTCGTGGTCTTGTGTATACACGAACATGAAAATCGGCTATCAACGATTTCCAAAAGCAAATATGGATCGACCTATACACGAAGAGGGTACAAGACGTAAGCCTAGGCTGATGCAAATGGATTCATTACACCAGAGGGCTGATGATCTGATCGCTCGTGTGAACAGACGGAGGAGGCTTGAAATTGAGATCTTACATAGCCACATCGACCATAGCCGTATATCATAATAATTAAATGTCCAACTCGAGGAGATTTCGAGATTTCATGCTATACTCCTTGGGGATAGAAAGAAATTGCAAATTTCTTAGCAAAAATCAGGCAATCTTTTCATAGGTACCTTCGTTTTGTTGGTTGTTCTATTCTGGTCTGATTATCCAGACTATCTAACTCTTGAGTAATAAAGTGATTTGTGACGAAAAATCATTGTTTGTTATCACAAAACAATTCATCATCATATCTAAAATGAGAAAACAACCAAAAAATGTCAACTTACACAAAAAGCCAAAATAACCTCTCATTTATGTTTAAGATATTTAAAGTTCTTTTAAAATTGTCCAATTTAAATCTCAATTTTTTTATCGATCAAGCTGTTTTAGATACCCGGAAAGTCATGTTAAATCGATTTAACAGTTAAATTTTGTATATCTTAAATGGTTTGATCAACGAAAATTATGATTTAAAATGAACATTTTAAAAAGTTGGAAATTAAAATGACTTAAACAAAAGTTCATGTTTTTGTTTCGTTGAAAGATCTGAGTTTTTAACTGATTTTCTCTTTGAGTTAAAAAAGTCTAATTGTTTTTTACTTAATTACTTCTTTAAGAAAACCATTAAGTTAAGTTAATTGTGTATTCTCTCTTTGTGTTCACATTTTTGTTTCATTCTATAATGTATTAAGAAAACCTTTGTAGTAACAACGAGTGGTATTTAGTTACATTTATCAAATTAGTACCTATATGACTTAAGTATCTGGTTGCATCTATATTATCAAAGATCAAAGTTGTAGATACAAAACCAAAGGTCGAAGTTACTTCCAAACATATATTAAAGATTTTCACTGATGAGTCTGGACATTGTAACAACATCGATCACCCTAGACTTTCGTTGGACCAACATTGCTGGTATATCAATATTTTCTCATCTTGGTAATATGTGACTCGCTAATAAGATAAAAATATATTTGGATATTCTAAGAAAACATTATGTCTTTAAGTTTTGTTGATGTCTCATTACATGAGACACACACAGACACTTCAAAACCAATGTCCTCTATTTGATATTTGCAATAATAATGGATCCAAAATCTCATCTTAAAAGAGTAAATAAGTAAAATAATAGATTTTTCTAATTCAAAGAGAGAAAGCTGTTAAAACTCATATCTCCCAAAATGAAACAAAAGCAGAAACTTCCATTTAAGCCATTTTAAACCTCAAGGACCCATTTTAAACGTCAACTTTTGTTGACCAAACCATTAAAGATATACAAAAATCAACCATTATATCGATTTAAAGGTATCTAAAACGGACTGGTCAACAAAAATTAAGGTTAAATTGAAAAAAACTGAAAGTTGCGATTAAAATGACTTAAACGTAAATTAAAGGTTATTTTGGCTTTTTGTGTAAATTAAAGGTTTTTGGGGTCTTTTCTCTATCTAAATACAAAAATACACATTCTCTAACTAGAAAGGGACCTCAAAAACGTTTCTTTTCATTTAATTGTAAAGCATATAATTCAGTTTTAGATTTATTGTTAGAAATGCATGTATTTCTCTTACTAATCTACCACTGATACATGTGAGACTATACAAAGACTCAAGACTCGGAGTCTGGGTTAAGTATTAACCGAATGTTCCTATAAAATTGGAGACGATATCTTAAGCTAGTATGAAGCGTCTCCAGTTAGAGAGTACTTGAGGAGCTTGCATAAAAGGTAGTTAGAAAGGACTCCATTGATTTTGATAGCAGAAAATAAATCCTCGAACCACTCTAGATTGTCCATAGGATGCTCATGTGGGAGCCCATGATAAGGCTGTTGTCCCACGCGTGTAAAGCTTGATACTGGCTTCAGCTCGAAATCGTGTCTCTGGGATGTAGGAGGACGAATAGTAGACATGTTGACATAGTACTGACTTGGATGTTTGTAGTCAACCAACATTCTAGGTCAAAAAAACTCAGCAGCTGCAGTCTCAGCAGCGGCTGCACCATTCTCAGCATTAGCAACTTCTAGAGCAGCTGCTTCTAGATCATGGATTACAGCCCCCTAATTGTTAATCTTCTGATCTACTCTATTACGTAGATGAATCTGAGGGTCATCTAGGTTCCCATTCTCATCTTGAATCAACACAAGAGTCGCAATCATCTTTCTCATGTGCAAGTTGGTGTTGATCGATGCTTCAATAGTGTCGCTCGTTGATTGCTCACGAGAGGTGTCAATCAACGCTTTTTTTTTTTTAATTTGTAAGTAATATACATGAATTGCAAAAAATCATTTTTTTTCTATTTTGAGTATTGTCATTGTTTTATTATTTCTTACTATATCACAGTTAGAGATCACAGAAGCAATAAAAGGAGAATAACAAGCATTTTTAGAGTGTCCATCTAGGCAAGGAAATTCAGACCAATCACACCATTATATTGTTCCATGTCAGTGTTCTTCAGTGAAACCAACCGACAAAATCGTTCCTCCGTTTGATGCCACTACGATTTCTCATTCTTAATAGTTTATAACAACAAAAGCCTATATTTTCCTATACATCCAAGATACAAACTTTACACACACAAAAGGCAGAGAAAAGGAGATTAAGAGTAAACCTTAAGATCGTGGGACTTGACATAGGTCCAAATCTCTTTGGCGGCATCGATGCGTGTGGTTTCATCGGTACCAAAGAACTGAGCGAGAGCTGGAGAGACAGTAGTGGCCTTGAAGATATCAGTAGTCCTCGGCGTCTTCTTCACCAGAGCGTCTGGTTTTAACTTTGACTTAGGTTTCGCCTTCGATTTCGCCGCCGACTTCTTGGTGCCTCCGGTGGTGACAGGAGCGAAAAGCGATCTGCATCCCCTGAAAACCCTAGCTGCCATAGAAGGCATCTCTTGCTAATTTCTTAGGGTTTCTCTCGTGATCTGCATCCTCTTGGACTCCTCTCTCTCTGCTCTCTTTATATAATCCAGATGAGAACCCTAACAGGCTCCGCCGTAAGATATGCTCCACTGAATGCGTCTGGCTTCAATTGAGACAGAAAAGTAGGAGTATTTCGATCAAAATCCTTCTGGACCAGTCTTTGGAAATATTTTCTCAACAGGTATTGCTCATACCTCAAAGAAGCTGGGCCCAAGAGTGATTTATAACATAAAAGTGTTCATATTGTTTCATGCCAGATGCAAGGTGATGTTAATTTTCTTTGGCTTTGAATGGTGATGTCGATTTTTGAGTTGAATGGACCAACATGCATGCCTTTCTTATTTTCATCTCTGCACTTCTTCAGAATCCTTCCTTTCTTTTTTTTTTTTTAATTTCAGCAGCTTAGCTTTTACTGCTTCGCTAATTGTTTCATTGTCCATTCAAAATATTTTTCATTTCAGCTATGTGATTCCTGTGGCATGTTATTTAGAGAATTGGCCAGATTTGTATTGGAAAGATGCATCTGCAGCCACAAGGGTCTGATGGACTCCCTAAAACTAAGTTGCTTATTTTTCATTGATTCAAGATTCCTAACTTTTCTATGATTATAGTGTTATCCAGTCTTTTTTTTTTGCCATCTTTCATCACTCACTTCCTCTCTCTGTTTTCACAGCTTGCTCAACAAAAGGGAAAATGCAGTTGAAGTGTTGTAAATGCATTTCTGGTGATATATTCAAGGTACTTATTCATCCTGACCACGACTAAGTCTTCTTAGTGAGTTGCTCTGTTTTCTAGATCCGAGAAGTTCTAATTTTTTTTTCCCAATCTTTGTTCTTTGGTTGAATCTATTGTTTCAGAATTTGTGAGTGAAACGCACCTCTTTCTCTGTTTGTAGTTTATTCTCATACTTTCTTTTGTTTCTGTATATATATATATATATATATAAAAACATGTATGAGTCAAGGCATAACAAATTTTTGATGTTTCACTCCAGGTTAGAATCTCTATGTAATATGTTGAATAGGTATCATTCTAATGTTCCTTCGCCGAGCAAGATGATGTAGAGGCTGCTCTAGACTCCTGGTTAAGCGATCTGTCAGTTTCAACAACAAAAATCTAGAGCCCACAATCTTGAAGTCTATGGGATTTTGTGGTAAAATGGTTGTTGAAAAATCTATTCGCTTCAAATGGATGCAACCGGAGAGAATGATCTCGCTTTGAATTACACATTCTCTGGATTGTTAGATAAATCTCAGTTCTTGATCCAAGGAACCCCAAACATGAAGCTGCTATTAAGTTACATTAATTTTACAAAAGATTCTGTACCAGGTGAAAGCTCGCAGGCTATGCAGTGCTCTTGGAAGAAAGCTGTTAGTGTTATAAATATATCATTCTTTGATATTGAGTAACATGCAACCCTGAATTCAAGGTGTGGTTTAGAGCTTGGATAAGAGCAGATAAGGTTGGTAAAGGTTTGTGATCTTTGCCATCGTTATGGACATAATCTTCATTTTTACTACAAGTTGCTCCACTGCCGGAGTAGAGACTCTTCTACTGGTAATTACTTCTCAAAAGGTTTGTGCCAATCAAGAAAAATAACCTTTGATGTGTGTTTGCTTGAAATGTTACAGGTTTGATATTGGCAAGGGGAATGAAGTAAAACTTGTGGAGAAGTGTCTTGATTGAAACTTCAGAAACAATGGATTAAGTATCTTGGTCTGGTTAGTATCTATTTCTTTTTGTTGTCATGATTATGCTTTGTGTATATGGAAAGGCAAGCTTCTGATTTTTTTGTGAAAGATGGGAAATTCTTCTACAAGAAGAGTGGAGAAATGATTCAAACTTCTTCTATGAAAGATAGTGATCCACAAGAATTTTGGTGCTCAGCACATCAAGAACTGGGATATGTTGGAAAGAAGGGTACGTTTCAACATTCAAGCTTCTTAACTGGAGCTACTGTTGCTACATGAAAACTTGTTGTTTGGAATGATATTCTTAAGGCTGTTTGGCCATGGTACATGCTTGGTAGCAAATTTTAATTTTAGTATAGTAGATCATATAAAAATATAGATTGAATTTTTCACCGTGTTGTGAGTATTGTTATATAGCAATAAGAAGATTATGAAAAGTTAATTTCAAAAAGCTTCAGAAAATAAATAAGTATTACATAAGTTTTTAAAAGTAATATATAAGAAAAGTTGCACAATATTTTAGGCAAAATATTTTTTTTCTGAGAATATTTTTTAAGAAGTCATGAAAAATTAATATGAAATTTATTAAATACAAAATTAACAACAAAATATGTATTTGTAATATAAAATCTGGCACGTAGCATCAAGAAAAAAATCATATATAGTCAGATAAATAAGTATTTAGATTACTAATAAATAATTTTTTTTAGAAATTTAAATTTAAGTTTCAATCATTTAAATACACTAGAAAATATATTTTTAATAAATAATAATTATTTAAGTATTATATAGTAATATATTTTTTCGTTACCCGGGAAAACCTCTAGTACTTGTTAAAATCAAAATAATTTTGTCGTTTGAACCCGTACGCGTGTTACATATATAATTTCAATTAGCCTTCTTAATTGTTGCCTGTGATGAAGATTCAGCTTCGTGTGTTTCATATTCTTTTGTAGGTTGGTAATTCAAATTCATTTATGTGCATCAACAAAACCTTTAACCCGCTGGCTAGAAAAAATATCGTCTTTATTTTACTTAATGTTGTTACATATGTAGGGTGAAGCCAAAGAGAAAAGTTTGAGTGTATGTTGCATACATTAATATGTCAGTTCTGATTATTTTTTTGTAAAGTAAAATGAGAGAGATTTATATACTAGAAATATTAATAAACCTGATTTCTGCGATTCCTCACCCACATAAGTAAAATGCAAAGTAGATTTCTCTAAAACAAAAGATCAAGATACGTTGAAGCAATGCGTTAACGATTATAGTATATTTTTTATTATAAAAAGCCAATATTGTAAGTTAGTCATCCTGTCATCTGCAAATTTCAGGAGAGGCTGCTGTAAGTCAAAAGTGACAACAGGAATCTATATGAACTTAGATAAGAACCAACTATGCATTTGCCTAAATAAATAACTAATTACCAAATTTAGCAAATAAATAGCAACTATCGATCAACCCCATCACACAATCTCATCCCTTAAATAATCTCTCCTTCTTCTCTAATTCCTAAATGTTATCTTCTAGTCACGTCCTCCCATTAATCAATTGGCTCTCTTCTTTTACATATTATTTGCCTAGAATCTTCGTCTGCAACCCAACCGCTGCCATATGATCTCTTTGGTGGCGGCGATTAAACCATATATTTGTTAGTTTTATTGTTATGGGTTGCGGTGGCTCAAGGCTAGGAGGTGCGGCAGCGGCGAGAGCAGATGAGGGCGGCGTTGTACCACTTCCCGCGGGAATACGTCCGCTTCTCCGGCGAAGATTAGAGGAGATGAAGAAACGGAGCCATGCAAGCGTCTTGAAAGGAAACCAGACGCTGTCCAAGAAGGAGCTTCTAAAGAACGGCTCCTCCGAGGTAGATGACGGAGAAGAGACGGAGGACAAAGACAACATCTTGAAGTTGTCGGCTAAGGTTGCTCCTGCGCCTGATCATCTAGTGGAAGAGAAGAAAGAGGTTATTTATGAAAAGTTTTCGTCAAGAGATGATGTTAAAGAAGTGAAGAAAGAGGAGGAAGTTGTGAAGAAACAAGATGAAGATCCCAATCATCACCATGTTGCTGAGGATGTAGCCATGAATCTTAAGAAAGAGGGCGATGATGGCAAGGTCATCGATGATAAGAAGGATGAATATGATAGTGTTGATCATGATGAAGGGAGGATGAGCAACTTTGATGAGAGGATGATATGTCCTGGATCTCCTAGCTTTAGGGTTTATTGCATCGATGTTACTTCTGATGATGATGAAGAAGGTAATTCTTACATTCTTAGAGTATGATTAATCTTATAACTCCTTATGGATTTTTTATTTTTATTATTATTATTTTTGTCTGATTAAGAAAAAAAAAATCAATCGCGTACCGCCGCGTGTCATTGGAATCCACAAACAGTACAAGAAACACCTCAAAACAGTTTCTTATTTCATATCTCTGGGGATTGTTTCTTGTGTTTTTTGGTGGGATCCATGCACAGAAAGTGGCTAAGAAACCCCCTTTATACTGGGTTAATGGTGCTCCTATTTACTGCTATTTCGTACACATACATATACATATAGCAAGTATGCGTACCAAATAAAAATGTAGAGAAGAAGTAATTTTTTATTTATATATGTATAGATTGGCGGCTATGAGTATATCTCTATTTGGAATGCTATTTCCATAACTGCATAGATATTACCTAAATTGACTTATATATGTTTATTTTACTCTGTGATGCAAAACTGTATGGATATTACATACTTTTTAGTCTTATATACGTTTCGTTTTGCTCTATGGTTCAAAACCGATTTTTCTTTTTTTTAACTGATTTTTTTGTTTAACGGATTTACTGAAACAAATTATCCTTTCTCTTTTACAGAAAAAGATGTTGAAGACACGAGAAAGTCGATGGAAACCGAAAGCGTCATCATGGAACTAAAAGAGGTAAACAGTTTAAGTAACTTAAGAATGATAATAAAAAGAAGTGTATCTATCCACATCATTCATTTGATCTATGAAGCTCTATAGTAATGATATGTTTGCATTCGAATGACTACTTTGCAAACAATAGGATGAAAGCATCGTTAGAAAGGAGAAAAGAGAAAGAAAAGGAAAGAGATTCGGAATAGCATTGCCAAGGAAATATTTAGCTAATGTGACTGCAGGATGCATGGGCAACCACACTCATGCTCGTCTGATGCAAGAGAAATCGAGCCAGTGATCTAACAAAAGAAACGTGTTTGCCATCTTTGAATTGAATTTTTCAAGGAAGAATGGTGTGTGGGTGTAAGTACGGACGCTGAATAATCAAAAGACACCCACCATGTAATATGTTATTTAGACCTTTGATTTGTTTCGAGGGACTTATTTTTCAGAATGTGTACAATCTCTTCTACGTCTTTGCTTTCTCTGAGAATAAGTTAGTGTGTGACGATTTTTTACTTCTTTTTCATGTGGACAGATTAAATTAATTGAACTTGTGCAATAAAAAGCTGTTGTCTATTTGTTAACTGTATCTGTTGTGGGATTACAGTGTTGAAAATTATTGTTCAATTTGGAAGCCTTTGAGAGGTAGTGAGATCCACCCGCTCAACCTTTCTGTCCAAAATCTCCTTTCATCTTCGCGACAGGTGGAGACCGTCAGGTTCCAGTGACGGTTCGTATGGAGGTCTCACACCCTCCCTTTTTCTTCGGATATAGCTCAACTAATAATATTGGATTATTTCACATTTAATATCTTTTAAAAATGAAAATAAAATATAGTCAAGTTATATAAAAAGTAGTAGTAGTTTCAGAAAAAATGTTTTTAACACCATCATCAAAACACTAAATCCTAACCCTATCTTAAACCCTAAATATGTGTATAAACTTTAAATTCTTTAATTCTAAACCCTAAATAAAAAAGCATAAATACTGAATCCTTTACTTCTAATTCTTTGGAAAAATAAATAAAATAGTAATAATTACTAAAAAAAGAATTTTTAAAAATATTTTAACATTGTCAATAAAACACCTAACCCTAGATACTAAATCTAAAACACTAAACCTATAGGATAAATCTAAAAACCTAAACCTATATGATAAATCATAAATCCTAGAATTTAGAATTTATCTAAGAATTTAGGGGTTAAGATTTAGGTTTTAATATTTTTAATATTTAATATTTAGTGTTTTTATTTAGTCTTTAGAATTTATCTAAGGGTTTAAAGATTACCCAAGGGTTTAGGAATTAAGATTAGGGTTTAGGAGTTAGTATTTTGCTCACAGCGTTAAAAAAAAGAAAAAAATATTTTTTGGCAACTACTAGTATTTTTTTTTCATTTTAAAAACATAATATAAGTTAAATATATTTTCTTTCTTTTCTTAAAAAATATTGAATATAAAATAACTCAATACTATTGGTGAACCTAAAAATTCACTCTAGGAAATGAATCCAAGAATAAATCATAAGTATATATTGGGATTTAGGAAGATATACATTAAACTAATATATGAGACCCGACCGCTTCTGGTGACGGTTCTCAGCCCCAAGTCTGCACCAACTACATGCTCTTCCATTTGCCAGATATTGGGCAGCATAAAGAGGAGCACCTTCATATCTTGCTTATGAGGATTCATACATCATCCAATCTGAGTTATCTAACCAAAGAACCATTATCTTTAAACCCGTTTTAGCCACCTCTGACTTAATCCCCCGACTTAACAAACCACTGATCTTGAGCCATTACATTGAGAAAATAAATAAAGAAGAAAAGAACCAGGAGGAAATGCAATTAAGAGAGCAAGGAAGGTGAAATTGCAGTGACTGACAAGCTCTCCCAATAGCACCTATAAATACTGGAACTAGATCCCACCTGACCTTCTCGTCCAAGGCAAACCAAATAATCCAAGATTTGATATCAATCTTTAGCAAACAGAGAAAATATAAACCATAACTTTGTTTACCTAAATATACTCATACTTTCTTTTTTTTTCTTTTTTTTTTTTTTTTTTTTTTGACAACGAAAGGCTGATCTATTACTCAAGTTTGAGGTGGTCTGGGAATCCAGACCGGAATAGAACAACTAACATACATCAGATTCGCAATGTCGCATTCTGGAACCTAGGAACATAAAAAATCTTGAAATCTGGGAAGCAGATTTGCAATGTCGAGAGCCTATCCAATTCCGTCGAGAAGCTTGGCCAATCAAGGGGGTTGCTGAGCATCGCAATCAAATCCTTGCAATCCGTCCCAAAGCTCTGGCATGGCGAATGTTGAAGCATATTCTCCATTGCCCACCGCAGTGCTTCCAGCTCAGAGTGCAAAGCTGACTCCACCCTACTAAGATTACGCATCCCCATCAACTGATTATTCCCCTCGCTATCCTTCCAAACCCATCCACATCCAGAATACTGATCTGTAGGGTCCAAGAACCATCTACCATACAAATATCACCCAGGCTTATGACCTGGCTTTCAACATCTATGTTTCCTTGTGATGACATGTTCTGTTCATTGGCTTGGAACCAGGCAAGGCACTCACTTTCCGCATATCGGGCTAATTCTAGAGGATCTCTATCAATTCCCCGAAACAACTTATCGTTCCGAGCCTTCCAAATGTACCATATTATCCAAGGATAAGGTTCCCTGTCTAATTTCGGTTCCATTATAGCATTCTTCCTCCAAAATAGATAATCCGTGTTCGCATATGTGCTCTGCACTGGGAATAGATTTGAGCTGGTAGGAATATTCGCTAATGCCCAAATCTGCAAAGCAGGCGGACATAGGAAGATTGCGTGTGCAATTGTTTCATCCGGCTCTCCACAACGTGGACAAATGTTGTCACATCTCATGTGTCTGTGGTTCAAAGTACTTGTAACAGCCACATGACCTGTTATGATCTGCCACATAAGATGATACATCTTTTGTGGTGCTTTTACCTTCCAGGCATGTGCTTGGAGTTTTGTGATGCTGGGTTCGCCCACTAGATTATCATCCTCCCTCATCAATATTTTCCGAGCAACCCAATAACCAGACTTTACTGTGCACTGTCCACTCCTTGTGTAGCTCCAACAATGTGTATCCCTACGATGTGTTGAGCTAATAGCCATACTCCTTATGAGAGGTATGTCAGCAGCATCAACATAATTCGCCAACCGATCCAGGTCCCAAGATTTTGTTCCTTGATTAATAAGATCGCTGACTCTCATGTTTGGATTTAAAACCGGAGCCGATGGTGTCGCCGACCTCGCTGGTATTGTGGGAATCCAAGGGTCCTCCCATACTTTCAGATCATAGCCTGAATGTATCTTCTGCTTTACTCCTAGCAATAACAATTCTCGTGCAGCTGATATGCTTGTCCACACATACGATGGGCTACTGACATTGAGATGACGCAAAGGTGAACTCAAACGATAGTAACGGCCTCTCATAACTCTAGCTACCAAGGAATCTGGATTTTGAGCCAATCTCCACAGCTGCTTAGCTAATAATGCCAGATTAAACTCATGGATCATCATAAACCCAATTCCTCCTTCCTCTTTAGATAGACACAACTTGTCCCATGTTGACCAGTGGATTCCTCTTTTTGGTGGGTTCGAACTCCACCAGAACTGTGCAATGACACTAGCTAAGGCATCACATATCTCCAATGGAAGTAGAAAGCAAGACATTACATAGGTTGGGAGGGGTAACAAAATTGACTTTATCATTATCTCCTTTCCTCCTTTTGATAACCACCTACCCGTCCATCCATTTACTCTATTCCTAAGCTTGTCCTTTAGGAAGGCGAAGAGCTTGCATTTGGTCCCACTGACATCCTCTGGAATCCCTAAATAGTTTCCCATTCCTCCTTCATTTTGGATCCCAAGTGTATCTTTGATATCTTGCCTGACCTCTTGCCCAATTCTCTTACCAAAGAGTAGAGATGATTTGTCAAAATTAATGCATTGTCCAAAAGCTTGTCCATATGTCTTGACCACTTTCATTACTTCTTCACATTCACGGGGCTCCGCCTTATAGAAGAAAAGGCTATCATCAGCAAAAAGTAGATGAGATACCGAGGGACACGCACGCGTGATACGCAACCCCGTTATCTTTCCCTGACTCTCTGCGTGATTAAGTAGGCTAACGAGCGCTTCCGTGCATAGAATAAAATGAAAGGGGACAGAGGATCCCCTTGTCTTAGACCTCTTTCTGGAGTAATATTTCCTCTTGGCTGACAATTCATAAGAACCTTACATTTTACTGAAGTAACACAACGCATTATCCATGTTATCCAGATTTCCGAAAAACCCATCTTCCTCATGGTGGCCTCAATGAATAACCACTCCATACGATCATACGCTTTACTCATGTCTGTTTTAATTGCCATTCTCTTGTTGCGTCCACTTGGTTTAGTCCTTAAAGCATGGAACATTCCTGAGCAATCATAATGTTGTCAGAAATCTGTCACCAAGCAATAAAGGCATACTGGGTTTCTGATATCCGATCGGGTAGAACCTTTTTCAATCTCTGGCATAGAACCTTGGAGATTATCTTGTAGCTAACATTGCATAAACTGATAGGTCGGAGCTGGCTCATTTGATCTGGCTTATCTACTTTTGGAATGAGACATATATTGGTGTCATTTAGACCAGTAGGCAGCATTCCTTCAAACAGGAATTGATTAACCATAAGAGTTAAGTCATCCTTGACAATGTCCCAGAATTTATGGTAGAAAAACGCTGTCATTCCATCTGGCCCCGGCGCCTTCTCTAGATACATTGCAAACATAGCCAATTTGACCTCCCATTCAGTAACCGGAGCTGTAAGGTTGTCATTGTCTGCGGTTGTGATAGTTGTAGCTACCTCCGAGAGAGCCTGCTCTATATCCTCAAGGTTTGAAGACTGAAAGATATGTCTAAAATAACTTGTAGCAATGGCTACCACTCCTTCCTCATCCTCGACAATATTCCCATCTACATCTTGCAATTGTGTAATCCTGTTCCTCGCTCTCCTCTGCTTCGTAAGGGCATGGAAACACTACAAGAAAACTAAACATTTACTAGGAAACTTTACTAGGAAAATAATTCCTCGTAAAATTACTACGAATTTACTTCGAGTTTACGAGGAAACCATGTTTCCTCGTAAGGTTCTCGTATACTTACGAGAAAACAGTTTCCTCGTAAAGTCGTAGTAACATTACTAGGACTTTACGAGGAAAAAAACGCGGGCATAGCTATTTCCTAGTAAAGCAGTTTC